CCCCAAAACCCCAAAACCCCAAAACCCCAAAACCCCTGGGGGAAATTTTGTTCTTGAAATTAATATGATAACTAATTGATATTTATATGACAAAAAAGGAAATGGAACAAATGCAACTGAAAAAAGTGAAGGAATCAGAACTGGAGGTATGCAGGGAAATGAAACAGATCCCCAAGAAAGATAAAACTTGAGATGTAATGGGATCTGGGTTTGTACCTAGAGATAATTTCTTAGTCAGACACACAGTTTTTGAAAATCTAGATTTATAGATCAAGTGTCTTGAAACTTAGTAAGTCTATGTGCGAGATTTATAGAAATATCTTGAAAAATAGAATCCTACAAATTGTCAGAGGGCCTCCACTGGTTTTAAATGTCTGAACATTTATGTTTCTTCTACCAAGATTTAAGACTAGAGAGTTTAGAGAGATTCTGAGGCATTTCGGGACGAAGGAGATAACATATCTCACAATTCATGCTCCTCTAAAGCCAAGGTTGATGAGTCTCAAATTAATCATGAACCCATTCCAAAAATGGTTAAAAAACATCATAATTGATAGAGCTAAGATACTTCAAGATCTCTGGCAAGCAAATCTTGTTTCTGCTGTCCAACTGAGTAGCAAAGAGATTAACAATTGAAAAATGTGAGATTGGAGAAATCGTACATACGAGAGAAGTCTGACCCCAATCTATATTACAACATTTAGATATTGACAACTGCAAAAGCAGTCCTACTCATGTATCCTTTACTTCCAAGGTGCTTCCTAGCATCCTAAAGTATATCTCCAACTAAAATCTGGCCCAATCACTGACCAAGGTATCTCTACGGAACATTAAGTCTAAAAGCAACCCTATTGCTCAAATGGTGCACCAATACAACTTAGACAATATTCAATGTCAAAGCCCTGAAGACTTATGCTAATTCATAAGTTCAAAGTCAAGCTTACTCCACTGTCTTCTCTTGGTCTCCCCTTCCATTTTCCTAGTTCAACCATTCGTTTTTATTGCAGCATAAAAGTTAATATTTCTTCCTAGGAATTTTGTTCAAGAACTTCAAAAATTCTCAGTGAGACTTTGGCTTGCAAACTTTGCTTTAGTGGTGATTGAAAAAATTTGGGTTTCAAAGGGAGAATAGGATTTTGGGGTTTTGGGGTTTTGGGGTTTTGGGGTTTTGGATGTATTCTGAAATGCTTGATTTTA